AAATCAAGTAGAGCCTTCCCAGGGTGAATCCTTGTGCTGATTTGATTGATTGATTGATTGATTGATTGATTTGTGGGGTTTTAACGTCCGAAAACCACCATATGATTATGAGAGACGTCGCAGTGGAGGGCTCCGGAAATTTTGACCACTTGGGGTTCTTTAACGTGCACCCAAATCTGAGCACACGGGACTACAACATTTCCGCCTCCATCGGAAATGCAGCCGCCACAGCTGGGATTCGATCCCGCGACCTGCGGGTCAGCAGCCGAGTACCTTAGCCACTAGACCACCGCAGCGGGGCAGAGCTCTCGTGCTGATTAAAGCGTGGAGGAGACAAGGAGAAAGAAGGAACATAACACGAACGCTCACACGAGTGAAATGGTCAATTTTCTCTCGAATGCTCTCTCCAATGTTCTTATTATATTGTGAGTATTGCTGTCTAAATTGTTGAATGAATCCTCTGTTAAAAGTTTTACTTTTGCTCATTGCACACAGAGTGCTCACACATTCGAATATATCTTCCACATTTACCTTCTATCATTCGATCTTCGCAATAATCACCCGACGCGCTGGTCTAGTGGTTAAGGTATACTCGCCTGCTAACCCGCAGGTCGTGGCATGCAATCGCGGCTGCGGTGGCTGCGTTTTCGATGGAGGCGAAAATGCTGTGCCCGTGTGCTCATATTTGGCTGCAAGTTAAAGAGCACCAGGTGGTCGAAATTTTTGGAGCAGTCCACTATGGCGTCTCTCGTAATCAAATGGTAATTTTGGGACAGTAAACTTCATATATCAATGAAAAGTGACCTGTGGAACGTGGGGAACAAGAGCAGAATAACATGGTCTCTCTGATACTGTAATAAATTATCAAAAAATTGCACGGCATTGTCTCTAGGGTCTTCAGGAGTAAAGCACAGATCTTTGCCCCTTTGCTTGGACATACTTAGGACCTGGATGATAGGCCCCACAAAGTTGAGGAAATCGGCAAACACCAAGTATTTGTCGACGTATCTAAAAACAAGCCTTGCAATACCCTCGAAATCTTACTCAAGGGTCCGGCCCACTTTTTAAACAATTCGGTAAAGGGTAGGCCGAGTGCTGAGCAATATATTTTTTGTGCGAATACCAATACGTGCTACCAGCAAAACACATACAGTGACATATATCCACATCTGAAAAAGTTAACTTAGATCTGTCTCTGGCTCATTACTTCGTGTTTTTTATGTCTGTTCGACACTTGGTGGTCATATATTATTTTAAAATATAAATTAGAAGTCCTGCTTGCCCGAAGTCAGGGCTTATGATACGTTGATAAGTAGGGAAAAAATTGATTCAGGCCTACCTATTAGTTTTGCTCTCATAATAAACCTCTCTCTCTCTCTCTCTCTCTTTATATATATATATAATATATATATATATATATATATATATATATAATATATATATATATATATATATATATATATATATATATATATATATATATATATATATATATATATATATATATATATATATATATAGGCAGGCATGGTGGTTGAGTGGCCGTAGCGTTGCATATAGTCTAGTAGATCCTCCGTGAGCGGTCACAACGTGGTTTATTTCGACGTTTCGGCCTAGAGTCTGGCCTTCATCAGGAAGGCCAGACTCTAGGCCGAAACGTCGAAATAAACCACGTTGTGACCGCTCACGGAGGATCTACTAGACTATATATATATATATATATATATATATATATATATATATATATATATATGAGATATGGCACAACGTGAGCGTTGTCAACAAGGATAAATATATTATTTCCCAACAGTTTAGGGAGGGGTCCTCCCTTCATCAGGGGATGAGTTATACTAACATGAATTCCAAACTTCGTTGCTGCCGCACACACACACCACACACACACACACATATATAACTTTTAAAATTCCTATTTATCTTACCGAAAGGCTTCGCTCAATCTTTGAGCCTTTCTTACCCTGTCCCGATTCTTCATACCAAGAACGGCTTCGTTTCACGGTGGTATAGTGGTCCCATGTGACTACCTCATGTGAAATGATAATCTGCACATTTGTGCCATTATTGCGTTCATTCTAAACATGTTTTTTTTTCATTCATGACGAATTCTTGAAGGTGGAAGTGTTTTGGGTAAACGGAATGCACTTCTTATGACCAGAATAACTTGTACAAGCAGCACACCTACCTTGTCCCTTCTGTCTCTCCTCTCTCTATGTCTTTTTAAATAAAATGATTCGCCTTGTTTTGCCACCGATACATGACAGCATACCTAAATGTACCCCCCCCCTTTCACTTCTATGGTTTAACTCCATGATTTTGGGTAGAATGCTAAACGCTGTGTCCCCATAAGAAGGCCATAATAACGGCTATAATTCGCAGTTATGGTGGCCTTTTCTCAGCCGATCAGGGAAGCCATTGTGGCCCTGTGGGCCAATCAAAGTTGACAACATGACGCATTTGACAGTATCGTGAAGTTTGACACTGTGAAGATTAGCACGCCTGGCCTGTCGTGTTTTGCTCGTATTATTTGTCTTATTATTGGTAAAAACGTGTAGTTTTTGCTGAGGTTTCGCTTTCGCATATGCACAGATGGCTTGATTTTATTGGAATATTGATGGCATTATACACCCTCTAACTATCCGCCGGCTTCTTTGCAATCCCCTGTAGTGGGTAAGCGCTATAACATAAGAAGAAAACAAGCAAGAGCACCTCGCGCCTCGTGAGCTGCGAGTGCTTGCTGGTTCTGTACGTAGACCTACCCCAACCGCTATTCGCTTTGCCGACGTTTCTTTACCGATTTCGAGCTCCTTCTAAGACGATGGCTTACGGTGAGTGGAATTTTACTGGCCGATTTGATGCGGCGCTCGTCCCGCGTACTATCCTTCCTCCATGTTTTTCGTGCAACCAAAATATGTGTTTAAGAATCCATCAACTAGCCCGAACGAGAGGTTTACCTGATGTTATGGTGTGAACATCCCCTCTGCCAACGAATTGGCGATTTCAGTCGAACCATACGTTCAATCGCGTATGGTATCCACGTAAGCACATGTACAATATGATCTTAGGAATGTCATGATTACTTTTCAGTCGTATTGGTTATCGCTGTTACCTAAATTAGTGAATGCTAAAGCTGTCCTTGAATATGTGGAGAAATGCCAAGGTCGTGTTTTGTTTAGTAATCCATAAAACGCGAAATAGATATCCCGAGGCTTCTCTTATTTGCTAGACATCAATTTGGAGGTTAATGTCCTGAAACTGCAAACTGTCAGGTATGTGCCACCATGAGGTATATGAAAGGTGCAGATTTGAAAGTTGTTTTGTAAGTGGCCCTTACTGGATGTAAGCAGCGATCTCGCTATGAAAGGGATATAGTAAATGAAAAGTTGTCTGAGTGGTGTGTTTGATAGTAATCCGGAATCGTAGTTAAGAATAATTTTCTTTCTCTATTAGCTTCGCGTTTGGAACTGGCATTGATAAAATATACCTCTTATTTAGCCGACTACTGGGACGGCCGCGATCCTTTTGTGATTTCGCCTTTGTCGCTGCTTAAATAGTTAGGCGCGGTATATAGACTGACTTGTGCTGCATCTTCAAAATATTTAGGGACGATACAGTACATATTATAATCACCCCTTCATCCGCTCTTATTTGTCTGCAGATTATGGTAAGCGAGGCTTGTATACTTCAGATACTGGGTAAGCTGGTTCTCCTATGCTTTTCCTGCTGACAACGTTGTAAGTCACTAACAGAAGCAATTTAAGTGCTTTGCTTCTTTTATTCCACGCACATAAGCTACGATCAAAGACTCCATTTTGCTTGCTCCTGCAGGTTACGGACAGTATGGACAGCCAGTGGCTTATCCAACTCCTGGTAAGAAGGCAGAGACTGAATTTCGCGATAGTCTCGCTATATATGGAAAGTGCCTGTACACCAAACTGTAATGAAGTCTAGAGATTTTATCAGATTTTTTCGAGAGAACTGTCCACCGCCCACAACTACCATCATGATTACTGTCTTGTACATTTTGACGTTAAAAAGGACTATTACGAATACCTGCTTATTTTTTTTTTCAGATTACGGAATAGAAGCACCCTACGTGAACAGGTGAGTTGCGTTTGACTGTTCTACACTGTCTATACAGTAACGTGCAGCTGATTTGATTGTGTTACACACCTCCGGAATTTTATAGATTACGATGCGTATGACCAATCAACCACATCATATGGTGTGGGTAGGCATTTTCCTTTTTTCTTTCTGATTGCCATCACAAAAATCTGCAGCTGCTCCGAAGATAATGTGAATGAAGACTGAAACGGCACCATAATTCACGGTGATCACGTCTAGTGTAGTGCGGAGTGTATTCATAAAAACGAAAGAATGGATAAAAAAATAAAAAAAATGCTTTAATTTAGCTGTAGTTTAGGACATCTTGATTTAATCGTAACTATAATATCCCATTGCTTGCCATATATTTAGGATACGAAAATACCTCACGGTGACACATTTTTTTGTCTGTTTTTAAAAATTGTGCCCTTGAAAACACTACAGAAAGCTAGTTTGCGGCCAACATGACGCAAACACTTCATCCGCTTCGTGATATTCACGCTAATCGTACCACTGGCTTTTTTTTTTTTTCTGCGGTCGCGGTTGCGCATCGACCGACAAGCTTTCCGTACAATTACATTGCACGTAGAAACGCAGTACGTAGTATATGTGTCACTGCAGTAATACTATTGGGTATCACGAGAGCAACACAGAGCACTTCATTAAATTTTTATCGCAAAAATGACTGCGCAACGCAACATCCATTTGAGCCTCTATTCGTTTGTAAGTTTCTAATGTCAATATCAGGTCAACAAGATGTTGTTTCTGTGGGACACACTCACTCAACATACTTGCTATGCTCTGGTGGAGGATCGGGCCATGAAAGAATGCATTTTCAATTCCTTCTGCGCTGATTTCAGTCCTTTTTGTCTTGCGCTTTTACAGGGCAGTCCGAGACGTCCCTTACGTCTGGTAAGACTCTGGTCTCCTTTGTTCCGTGACAAAAACTGTCACGTTCTACGTATAAACAACCGACGGTGCTCTCTCCACGAGGCGCTTCCATGACTTACTTCACAAGACCTAAGTTACCCCTTAACTAACTTTCAACTAAGTTACACATTAACAAATACACTTTTCGGCAAGTCCCGGCAAGTTTTACTCGACGTAAAAGAGGTTGCTCTCACGAAGACTTCAAAATGCACACGAATGTAGCATGCTTCGAACTTCCAGTCAAGCACATTATAGTGTTACGATTTTTCACAATGAACAGCAGCACATCAGGGCTGTTATAATCAAGCCGGACACCACGGTGATTTCAGATACTATGCCTGTCATAAGCATACTCTGCCTGTACAGACTTGAAAAGACGAAAACTTACTAAAGAACAATAGGAAGAAAATTATGTTATTGGTATTAGTAAACATACACTTTCGCCAAAACTTCCCACTTTTGACGTGTACGTATGCAAGCTAGAAGAGAAGCGCAAAGAAAACACAAGGGGCACCGCAGCCATTGACAGTGATGAACAACTCCATGTGACGTAATACGCTTTGATTCAGTCGGTGGAGGTGTACATTATTCTCTGTCGGTAAAACTAGATTCCATCGTAACGAAGCTAATACGCCGCAAGTCAGGGCTTGTCCAAAACGAACGCGTGCTTCTTTACTTACAGTGTGCTTGGTTGAATGCTGGTATGAATTACAAATGAAGGAGCCTAATAAAGTGATGGCGGATATTTTATAAATATGTATCATCCATGTTCCTCGGAAGAATGGAAAAAACGCAGGAAAATGAAATGAAAAAAGGCACCAAGTTTACATGTTTTACTTATCAATGATTATAGACGCTCTGTTCACATTCCGGTTGTGTTAGCATGTAAAATTACAATCGCAGGTAAGGGAGAGTCGAGAGGTTTTGCACATTTGGGGGAAGTTGACAGCGCGTCAATCTCTCCTGCAGTTAGTTCAAAGGCGTTATCCAACGACTCATGCAATTGTGCTAAAAGACCCAACTTCATGGATGTAATGAAGGACGTCTTCGGCGAAAGGAGTACTTTATAACTGAAAGTCGCCATTTTTACGTGCCAATAGTATGTTTCGGCTATCTCACATGTAACGCTCTCGAATTTCAACCGCTTCGTGAGCGCTAATATAAACGTTTCTTCGACAGGACGCATCAGGGTTGTATCCTTCAAATAACAATGTTAAGGCATGTAGGAGAATTTCAGCCGCTAGCACGCCGTTTACTCTGGGAAACGTAGTTTGGGACGAATCGAACAGTCGAGCTATGAAAGGAACGGGACTCCTCTATCCTACTGCCTGAGCACGCTACAAAGCACAAAGAAACGTTAACACGAAAAACCATAGGGTACACGCACATTTGAGAACCATACGACTTGTCAGCGGCACTGAAGTTCACACAGCCAGATTCCCTGGCAGCGTCTTGGCGCCCGTACAAGAAACGCCACATCACGTAAACACGGCCGAATTCACCGGCAGCATCTCGGGGCTCGCACAAGAAACACTACACTACGTAAACGTGGACTCCGAGCCCTGAGCACGTCCGCTCAGCGCGGTTGCCATGAGGCGTTGGTTCGACGAACATTCAAAAAGAACTAAAGTGAGCTTGTGACACGGGAACGCATAGCAACGCATCGCCAGAAAGGAGAGCGAGCCGAGACACGAGTGGCGTCGGACGTAGCCGATCGAGCTCCAGCACCGAAATCGCTGTTTCCTCCTACACGTAACCACTGCCGATTCACTTGTAACTTAAGTACAATACAGCTTTTCTTCTTAAAATTGAACCTTGCCTTAACTCCATCATTCACCCATCGCAGACACGACTGAACCAGAATACACAGATGTTAGCTCGACAGTATTAAAAGAGAAGTGCTGCATAGTAAAGACCACCGTCACAGTCAATCCAAAATAGAAATGAAGTTTGCTGAGAGAGTACTGTTCTTCATGTGAACAAGACACGCTTGCCGTTGCCTTTACGAGTCTCACAATGACATGTTACGTTTTGATAATGACAGGCATGACATTTGTGAAAGCCTTTGACGAGTCTCACAGCGGTGTCACAGGTTTTGATACTGCCTGCCATGAGATTTTGACATCAAATGGCCTAATGAATATATTCAAGTGGGAAAAGGTTATGTCCTTCTGGTCAGTTTTAGTAAAAAAAAATTGGCGTTTATTACATGGCTAGAGTCAAGAGCAGTAATAAAATGTTTGCGTCAGTGCGCAAGAGCAAAGAGCACAGCTCTAAGTTCTGATTTGCACCTAAGATAAATATGAGGTATTTACAAATGACTGACATTGTTATGACAGCTGCCAGCGTCTCAAACCATTGGTGCAGAAAAGTATGTGCAATCCCGTGTATTGTTTGGTGTTGAAGTATTCGCCTATCATTGGCGCTCAAGAAACTTTGACCGTTTTGTTATATGCATCCTGCTCCTCCCAAGTGATGCCCCGCTCCACCCACACAGGCGGATAGAATAGAACAGACTTCAGCAATCTCAAACTATATCTTACTGCGACAACCAGTAGTCATAGAAACCAGTGCGTTTCGAAAGTTTGTGGCTTGTTTATACCTGTATTAACATCAATCAAACATAGTTTTGCGTTTAAGTGCCACGATACTAAAAATGTAATTGTGAAAAGTGTCGCAATCTTCCCGACTCTCTCTTAAGCTTCTTTATCAACGGCTGCATTTCCATCTTACGTTCTGAAAATGTTATGCTTCTTCGAATATTGAAATAAATAAAAGAAATAATAAATTTGATTGATCTTGTGATTTTATCCTTTACGCGACATTTCTGTGACTTCTGTTCTTTTCACAACAGGCTCAGGGTATGAAACATCCTCAGCAACCGATCGTAAGTGGCGAAATTGTTTATCTGTGGTAACAGCATAGCTGTTTATATCTATAAAGCATATTGAGTGGTACGTTTAATGCAGTTCAAGAACGCTACCTGTAAAGCATATATTTAATTAGAAATTGCCCCTTAAACGTTAAGCTGAGGCAAAACGGAGTTCTTTACTTGAATTACGCCAGTATCAGCCACAGAGTGAACTATTCGCTTGCAGCAGCTACCTACTGACGTAAATAATATACAAAAAGTTCATCAACAACGTCAACACCATAGGTGGCATGCGAAAACGTGTGATGCGAGGCCTGGTATTGAAAGAGGTTTTTGTACTACGATGCATTTGAAGGGAACTCATGTTAGCTTCAGTTTAACGAAAGCGTCAAAAAAAAGTAAATAGTTTTCAGTATTCCTCCTGCTGTTGACTTTATTGAGTTCATGACGACCGGTTGCTCTAATAAAAAAAATCACTTGTGGTGAAATACTCAACCAATTATTGATTTTAAATTTGTAAAAGCAGAGGTTTCTTGTTTCAAAACTTAGTTCTTTCAATCATGAATTTCCATATGTACTACCCCACAACATTTACCCCAAAAATCAAAACCTTAGCATGGTTTTGTAGCCAGTCTGTTGCAAATGAGCCCCAAAAAGTTCAATAAGATGGGAATGTAAAATGTTGGAGAAAAGCGGTATTCTTCAAAATTGAACTATTTTGAATATGACATGTCAATGAATTGGACAAAGTGTTTTTTTATACCTTCACCTTCATATTTGTCTTAAACTTAGAAGTGTGCCCATTGTACTACACAGCACTGCACGAGGCGCATTTTCATGCTCCGAAAAATGTATTTAACTTCTTCGTGTTTTCATTGAAGACAATGGTAGAACTTTCCGTGGTCCTTGGTTTCCTTCCAAGTTAGCTGCATTATTCCTGGAGCATACGAGTATAATGACACATGCAAACCCACTCCTTATGTATTGCTCGTGTTGGGCTTTCGAGGTAATAAAATGAAATGAATGAAATATTGCAGTACGAAGTATTCAATTTTTTCGAAAGGTCTCGCTGCCTTTTTCCAAAGCACAAATACGACGCTGGCTTCATTGACAGGACCTCTTCTCGTGCCTCTAATCTTCATAGGTTTGAAAGCGTCAGAAGACCCTAATATAAAAAAATTATTATTTTAGCGATATGAATTACTCACGAAAAAAAGGTATATACTATTTCACCTAAGACATGTGGGCGCGGCCTTCTTGGGCTGTTAAGCTGACGTCTTGTTTTTATACATCGCGACTTGCGTCAATAACGTCATGAAACGTCGTATGTGCGAACCAAACCGTTTTCATAGATATGCGTTTAGCTGTTAGTTGTTAGACATACAACACATAAAGCTTAGCAGACCAATATGGTGGCACTCACACCCATCCGTAAAATAGTCTATACCAACATGTACATAGGAGAGATGGCCGTGCCGTAGTTCGGTATTATAAACATACAACAGTGGCCATCATGTTCATCCCCTTCAGGGTATACGAAGGTTAATCGCAGCGCCCCTCCCCCCTCCCCTAGCCTCTATATTATGTCAATGTTAAGGCTGAATTATCTCCCCCTCCCACCCTCTTATGTGGCTAGGGAAGGCAGCCGCCCCTCTGCCCTCTCCGTACGCATGATCATGTTCATGCTCTGTAATATATCTCAATCGGTAAAAAGGTCTCCTTGTAAGAGCATGCATGTGAGCTGACGCATTCTCTTGCTTCGTTTCAGAGCGAGACAGCTCGTAAGTTTTATATTTTATTGGCATAAACGTCTCGAGTTGCTTAATATTACAGGTTTACAATTCTTGTTGTCAATCTTAACAATGTTCATGCACATGGATCTATAGAACTTTTCCTTTACTAAACGTACAACCGGCCTGTATTTGTGCTGGTTAGAACTTAACTACTACTCTCTGTACAACTAAGTAAACATGAATGACGTCTACATAGACATATATGCTGTGCTTTTCGAAGGCTACTAAACGATATAATGTTAGGTGTTTTAGAAGGTAGACCAAAACGTTTTCAAACATTTCCCTTCCCCCCCACTGGGGGGGGGGGGAAGTCAGTGCTTGTTCGAGTCGTTTTCTTAACATTTGTTCCCGCTATATACATAAAAAAACAAGCTTTTGCCTTATTAATATAGATTCACATTAAGGAATCTAAAATGTTCTTAACTGTGACCTTTCTACAATCCCATTATGGTTCTGGCTCGAAGAACACCAGAAACATTACTAGAATAGTTATCATTTTATCGTGTGCGGCTGATCCTATAATTTCGTTTTCCAGCAGTCGTCCAATAATAATGCTCGCATTGCTGGCCACGTTCGCCACCCTCGTGCTGGTTGTTTGCGTCGGAGTCGTTCTGGCCTTCAAGATGGGTGCGTGAACTTGGAAAATCATTTATGACCAACTGGTATATACCGCATTGCGTACGGTTTGATGGCAACATTTTAAGGGGCCCTGCCACACTTTCCCCAGTAATCATCTGATGGCTCTATTAACAGAGGCTGTTGCCCCATGAACCACTGCTGCAAATGTTTATAATTTTTTTAAGTACGAGGAAAGTTAGAGGGATTTATCAAATATTTTAAGCTCTATTTCGCCTGTTGTATCGGCAGGTGATGGGAAGCTTGGCAGGGAGGGGGAAGGGGGCGTGGTGAGGGGGCAAGACGTTTTGTGACATGCGTCCGTTCGTCCGTGTGCATTGCACCCTGGCGTAATTCTTTAGAGGCGAAGCCCTGCCAGACGTAGGCTTGTCTGCCGTATAGTTATCTGTCGTAGCCAGCCGCGAAGTGTTCACTAGGTAGCGGTCGCATCGCATGCATCGTTCGAGATGTTTTGATAGTCAAACAGACAGAAGGATGCACGCATGGACGCATGATGGCGTTCCGCGCCGGTGTCGGTAACTATGGAGCGCGCGATGATGATTGGCCGTAAAAGTTTGGTTTCTAGCAGATTTTGAGAATCGCATGTAAGTTCAGGGGCGTGTTCAGCGCTACAATATTTGAATCAAGTGTTCTTAGGAGCCTCGAATATACCAACTGGCAGTGGTTTGTGACCATGCGGGTAAGTGTTGCAGGGCTCTTGAATTAGGTTCTTGCACAAGTCTTTTACATCATTTCTCAACATATTGTTTCTATCGATTCAATGTTTCTCAATAGTTATTGCGTTCTGTTGCAGTAAATATACTAGCTTACAGTCGCCATTTTCAAGAAGTGTGGGCTACGCTAAGACGTTTTTAATTCTTTTCTATTTTCAGGGGACACTTATGGTCCTACTGACGGTAAGTATACAATTATTAGTTTCACGTGCAGCGGCCTAATATGCTGGAATAAAATAGACCACAATTTACTTTCGGAACTTTTCCTAAATATTTAATAGCAGAACGTAAGAGCGATTATCGACCAATAAGAGTGTGTGAAATGCGTTTCTCCCTTTAGTAGGAACTGTACACGCGATGGCGATTGGTTATTTTCAAACTTCACTTCTACAAGCCTTAGTGAAGTTGATTTTGAAGCATGGCGGACCTACACGCGGGTAACGATTGCTGAAAGCAGACATAAGCAAGAGCGACATGAATGTCGTTAACTAGGACTTATTGGGAATAGTTTGGGTAGCACAGATGTAGCAAACGAAAAAGTGACCAATTAGGTCATGCGAGATATTTGCTGGAAACTTCCGCATAGTATACTGAATTGTGACTTTGTTTACGGGTGAGGAGGAAGCATTTTCGGCTTTTCAGGCTTACAAGACAACGGGCTCAGGTAAATTTTGTGCATTTAATTTGTGTACGTTTCAACAGCATTTCTGCGGCCACTGCATCTGACAACTCGACAGTTTTTCGATTGAGCTTGAGTACTCATCGAGGGATACCTAGCCGAGGGATTTCTAGAAAACATCCGCTCCAGCCAACACGTCTTTTGGTTCTTGTAGATCAGGCCCGTACTCACAAAAGCGTCTTACACCGGAAACCTTTGTGAGGTATTTCAGCCTGTCTCAATGAGGGGCATATCATTTGCGAAGCCGGTCGACAAATGGAGATGCGTACTTACTAAAAATGGGTTTGTGAATATTATGCCATTTCTTCGCCTCTGAGTGATGGACTACAACCATGCCTCATTTGATAGAAAGTTAAAAATGGAGGAAAACTTCTGGTGAGGCTTGTCGTGTATATTCGCATATAAGCAGCGGCATTGTATAACTTTGGCCAGTACTTTGGCTAGAACACCACACATTGGATATGATGTTGATAAGAACGTCAGCCTGTACATATACAGAAATACCTAAGTGGAAGGAGGAGCACTTTCTGTCGCAGCTCAATTGGTAGATCATAGAACGCGTATTTGAATATTTGTTGGTTGGGAGCTTACCAAGAGAAAGGGTGACGTTGCTTGCTTTAACTGATTTTAATTAACGTCTTTGTTACTAAGCTACACTTACAGACAATAATTATTGTCCATAACGCTTTTCCCGGCATTAATCTCTTGAAATTGTTTGTTTGGTTGTGTTTGTGAAATGAACAAGCCCACCGAAAAAAAAAACTGCCTTTCGTTCGTTGGCTCATTCTAGCTGGCATGTTAATTGAAGGCAATGCTAACGATATTTACCGCGCATCATCTGATTTTAATAAGCCACAATTTTTTTTCAGCACCGGCTCCAGGAGGACGCGAAGAAAGTACCGTCGGCAAGGATAAGCCGGTGAGTGTCGCGATCGGACCGACTGACCCCTTGCCCCTGGAGACAACCGATATGCCGCCTATCCCGACTTCAGAGCCTACACAGCAGTCACAGGCTCCTACGGTCCCAACGCCGCGTAAGTTGGGTGCACTTACCCGCAGTATTATTCTGAGATTCGCAGTGACACACACCCTGGTAGCAGTTCAGATAGTATTGTGACGTTTGGGGATGCAGAGACAGACGAAAGTATCTACGAAATGAAGTTGCAGGAGCAAATTTTGGGACTAAAATGAAAACCGGATGAAGCTCTGATGACGTATGCCCTACCACATGTACTTTAAGGAGAAAGCCATGTATTCCTTATCAAACGAAAAAAGTGACCTTCGGTGTCATTGAGATACGGTGAGTTCACATCGCGTGACCAGCGTTGGGGTCAGCAAGAATGACGCGAAAAACAACAAATTAAAAAGAAAACGAAAAGTAATGTGGTTATCGAGTGAATGTGAATGTGTGAAGCAGGCATACCATGTCCCATGACATCAATCGAACATGAAATTAATAACGATACTAGGTGACTTTATGACGTCACATAATTTCAGAAACGTCCGACGTCGCAGATCCTCGTTGCTTGTTCAAAGGTGGGTGATAAGGGAGGCTGTGCAAAACAATGTAATTTGCAGAAAACAGGCAGGGCCTCCGAACCTCAAGGCAGTGCAAAGTGAGGTCAGGCTCTGAAAACTCTCGAAAGTGAAGGCAGTGAAGGGGGATGAATACATTGAATGAGAAGAGAATTGAAATAGCTTTGGGCGTCGATATGTCTTAGGCGATTGTATAAGGGACCCCGTGACGTTTTGTCGAGCTACACTGGCCAAGGTTGAGCAGTTTCGCGTGGCTTACAGTGAGCAGTTCTGCTCAAGTGCAAGGAGCAGTGAGGTCACATGGCACACAGCTGGAACACCGAAGGCCTGGAAGCTCCAGGTGTCACTAGTGGGCTGACGGTTGACACACGTGAGATCGCTCGCTAGTCCGTCCATTCGTGGTTCGTCCATCCGTCCATCAATCCGTGGTCGTCCATTCGTGGTTCGTTCGCCACGAATTCGCTCACGCTCCGTATATTCTGACATAGCTAAGCTAAGCCATTGAAAATATTTTTCGATCAATTATTCGACCTGTGTTATTCGACAAGTCACTTTTCCTTTCGTAGCGCCGACCACGACAACACGACGGAGCGGCATGATGTTCTGCGTCGTTGGCGACGGTCTCGCATCCATGGAGCTCTTCAAGAATAATTTGTGCGACTACATTGTCTACCCGGACCTGGTGGCCGAATCAGGGCGATTCACTCCCCTGCTGGGAAGAGCCTCCTGGAGCATCTTTCAAGAGGTCAGTGGCACTGCACATGAATATCAGTCGTTCAGGAGTGAGAATTTTCCTGATCACCACAACAACTACAAATCCTGCAACGACATAACTGCCGCAATAAACGTTTTATGTTGGCCATAGAGGGGCGACACCTCAGGCTAAGGCGGGTTTGATTATATGCTAAGTTACATTGCAAACAAAGTTCATAGAGACTAAACAAGTCCTAGGCGGCGACGCTTATAATGTAGTTAACCCTTGCTTCCACTTTTGCTGTGTGGCTCGACAACATGCTTCAGATATATCCACGCAGTTCCAGCTGCGTCGCAATTTTTATGACAGCCGATTATATTACCTAATGTCTTCTGCATGGTAATAAACTATGAACATAATTTCGTTGAATGTAGCGATACCAATAGTGATAAAAGCATAGTACTTTGACGCGTAATTAGAATGAATTGAACTGTGCCGTTCATGCGCAGGGCGCCAAGGCTAATCCCAGTATGGGGATCGGCTTGAGCTTCACATCCGTTGGAGTAGGGGAGGCAGGTAGCACGCTGGACTCCCTCTACAACTTGGCCTCCCCGCTTGCCAGTTTGGCGCATACGATGAACGTGTCGGCAATGGGCGTCCTCAACTTTCCGCCCCATCTCGTCGCAAGTGCCACTTTACTGGCAGTGGCTTTCCAGGCACTATTACTTATATATCTTCTGTTACGATCTGACGTGGTGGTGCCCTTATAGTCGCTTATGCTAAATTCTTAGAACGACCTACTATGCAAACACTTTATCACGCGGAGCACCAGAAGCACCACAGTGGAGTCAGCGCAAGCTGAAGACATCGACTGATGGATACTAGATGTTTCAAAAGTTATCGCAAAAGTTAAGAGTTGATGGTTTCTTTCCTTTCTTCAACCTGTATTCTACCATTCATATTGAACCATTCTCGCTTGCATAAATACGTACATTGATGCATGCGTGCTTGGGTACATGCATACATACATACATACATACATACATACATACATACATACATACATACATACATACATACATACATACATACATACATACATACATACATACATACATGCATACATACATACATACATGCATACATACATACATACATACATACATACGTACGTACGTACGTACGTACATACATACATGCATACATACATACATACATACATACATACGTACGTACGTACGTACATACATACATACATACATACATACATACATACATACATACATACATACATACATACATACATACATACATACGTGCGTGTTTGTAATGTTACACGAAGTTTTAAACAGTGCAGGAATCAAAGAACACTGCGTAACATCTCTAAATGTTCGAGGTCACAGGAAAATCTTGTGTGTTTGCGCATACCAGGTAGACTTCATGAAATGAGACCTCGGTACTCGAGCTGGTAAAACTAGAACGCCCATACTAGTTTGCGAGCGAAATGTTCAGTTATATGACGACAAATCATAGTGGGCATCTACACAGTAATACTTTTACGAAATATGCACTGAACATCAGCTTCTATGTTGTCCTGAATATTAATGGGGCCTTCTCCTTAGATCCTGTACGTAGAAATCTGCTGTGAACCTTAAATGTGCGCTTCTCAGCCAGCTCAGTGCGGGCTGTGTGATGAGGAGCACGATATCTCTGTCACAGGCTCTCGCCAGTGCGGTGTCGCTCCATGCTGGCAAGGAAGCTATGGTGTTCCTGGGCGTGTGGCTGCATAAGGACGACGTCGCCCAGCGATTTGTCGCCGAAGTGTCCACCATTGCGTGAGCAACAGTTATGACTCATGACCATTGAGTGAACGCTTGTTTAGCTGTAAGAATACTGCAATGAAAAAAAAAATCGTGATTCCAACAAGAGTTGTTTTGCTTAGTGTTGCTCAGTCAAGTTTTTTGCAAATGTAATTGAATTTGGGTGACAATATACTGTGTAATTTTTGACAGTGATGCAACTGCAGTAACTATTTTACGTTGATTAACGTGGTGAATGTCCATAGTGAGCTGGTAATTTAGGAATGCTGCAATTAACGAAGTCACTTATACATTCGCAATTTAGTATGGCTAACATATGACTTTCACTTGCCTTATTACGTAAGAATATTGGACAAAACAGTAGGGAAAAATAACAAACACAAGTTAATCCTATTGAAAAACTCAAAATGTGGGTACTAGACAGGCGCACAGAAAAGACTTGTGGAATTCGTACACAAAGCTTTGAATAACGTTGCTTGAACAACTTTTGTTACTGCAATATCAGAACTATTTCATTACATTTCAAAATACGTTGTAATATAATTTTGTCATAATCTTTGTCACCAACATAAACTTTCTCACCTTTGGTACTGCTAGCTTGTAGGCCCGTGTGCTCAGATTTGGGTGCACGTCAAAGAATGCCAGGTGGTCTGAATTTCCGGAGCCCTCCACTACGGCGTCGCTCATAACCAAATGGTGGTTTTGTACGTTAAACCACACCTGTCAATCAATCAATCTGGTACTGCTAGTCCATCCAGTATGTATTGCTTCACTTACGTCCATGGTATGTAGCCTCGACGAAATGTCTGGGTGCAGTTTAACGAGCATGTATCTGCAGCAATTTAGAAGAAAATGTGCAGATCCCCGGCAGGTGATATGCGAGCGACATGAGAATGGTCCATGCTTTGGTTTATCTTACTTGTATCTGGAAACCAAACTTAGTTTTTTTTGTTTCGACCCAAGTTCTTTGCCCACGCATGGTTTTTCTCGTAACACTGGTTTGTACATCTAGTGTAACACTGATTGATGATTAATATGTGTGACTCAACGTCCCAAAGCCACCATATGAATATGAGAGACGCCGTAGTGGAGGACGCCTGATATTTAGACCCCCTGGGGTTCTTTAACGTGTGCCCAAATCTGAGCACATGGGCCTACAGCATTTTCGCCTCCATCAGAAATGCAGCTGCCGCTGCCGGGATTTGATCCCGTGACCTGCGGGTCAGTAGCCGAGTATCTTAGTCACTAGATCACCGCGGCTGAGCTGGTGTAACACTGTGTACCATGTTTTGCGCAATTTTCACCATTTTATATTGTATTGTCACGTTTGCTATCAGCGAGAAGAGTAGCAATTGTCACAATAAAAGCGACAATTTTTACTAAGCAATACTTCTGATCTAATAATGAAACATACAAAAAAATCAATGTCAGATGATGTTTGCTGGCTCGGCTCATCCAGTTGTACTACGTATTCGCAAAATTTTAAAAATTATCTATAATCTTTGGTACCTGTACAATTTAAGCAAAGTATAAATGACGATAGCAATAACTTGTTGCTTTGAGTGAGTCTGTCCATCTTGCGCATAGCTTGAAGTGGTCTGAAAAAAAAAGAAAGGAAGGAAATGCTGCAAAAAAATTCAAAAGAACGGACACCCATTGAGACGAATGCCTGGCACTCGTCCGCGTATGCTTGTTCTTAGTTTTAGTCCTTGTTTTTTTTAATGAAGATTCAACTTATCCTCAGCGGTTATTATCTGTAAGCATATATTACATCGTTTAGACGCTGACTTTCTAACAACTTCAAATGCACATATAAAGCCTCTCATATATCAAGGACGCTCCGTTTTGTGACTTCCCTCTAACGCGCTTATCTCTTGTACTGGGGGGACATTCAATTGAGCTAAACAATATGGTAATGCCGGTGCGCTGAGGCCTATCGCCAGCCGCCAGAGCCGACGACAGCTTATCATTCATCCACAGCAGTGGCCGAAAACGAAGATCGTTATGCCGTTACGGCCGTTTGTGCCAAAACGCTCTCGGACAACTGATAAGAGCGGCCGCTTCGGCACTGGGACTCTCCAATTCAATACAACGCCAAGGCTGACCGGCAGCCTCGATAAGCTTCCGTTACGCGAGTGCACCTTTTTTTTATAATTTGTGTATGAGCACTGAACGTCACCTGTCTAAATAGTATTCGAATCAAATACTTTGCAGATTGCCTAGTTAGAGTTAATATAATGATGGCTAGGGAAAGAACGAAAAATGGGCATTCTGGTATTCGAAAAGAAAGAGAAATGGGCATTTTGGTATTCGAACTTCTCTCACTCACTCACTCTCTCTCTCTCTGTGTTTGTGTGTGTGTGTGCATGTTTGTTTATACAGTGTATTCAGTGGGTTAAGTAAATTTTCGTGGTCGTAAAAGTTCCTTTCAATATCTAGGCCACATAGACACCCGAGGCCCCCGGTATGTATGTATGTATGTATGTATGTATGTATGTATGTATGTATGTATGTATGTATGTATGTATGTATGTATGTATGTATGTATGTATGTATGTATGTATGTATGTATGTATGTATGTATGTATGTATGTATGTATGTATGCATGCATGCATGCGTGCATGCATGCATGTATGCATGTATGCATGTATGCATGTATGCATGTATGCATGTATGCATGTATGCATGTATGCATGTATGTATGTATGTATGTATGTATGTATGTATGTATGTATGTATGTATGTATGTAGTTGGTTATAGCATCTATATAACCTGTGTTCTGTGTGTCTTCATTCGCAGCCACGTCAACACGATCATCATTCAGACCCACACATCGTTGCCGTTCGTCCTAGGGCACACGTTGTGCATATCTCGCCCTGTTAGTGCGGTGGCCGCTAACGACATTACCCCCAGCTTCGTGAGTTGTTTCATTTTTTACGTTGAAGACGTGGAATGGATGTACAAGCATTAAATATTGAAGCCATGAAGGTTGCATATAAGGGAAAAACATAACCTATAATTTGCATAAATCGCTACTGACCTCATTTTCCCATTTACGCGCATCTCAATATTCCCCATTGGACTCGTTTTATGCTTAAAAGACGTGGGAAAATATACTTTGAACTATGCATACTTCTTCCTAGCGTTTTGATTAGTCTTTTGTGCGCGTTTAAGAAAACATCAATATTTCTTATGTGCAGACTGCGAAACGGATGTTGACAATACAAACAGTGTCGCAAAAAAATGCACAGTACTTATCAGGTAACACATGTTCTAAGACTAGGTGATTGTGGAGGCTTCAATTTAGTAAGTGATCATGCTACCAGGTATAGTTAACGAAAACATACGCATCGTGACTGCTTCCCACTAATCGTGAGTGGGAAGAGTATGAAAGGCGTGTTGTTTAATAAAATTTGTAGATTTAAAAACAGTCGTATTGAAGCAAGTTGCTATTTAGAAAGCACTGAGAGAAAGAGATCGCTGATTTGAGCATAGTTAAAAAAATGCTTGTAATTTGATTTCTGTAGCGAACTCGGCGATGACGTTATGATAACCATGAAGTAACGTCCCCTTTATTTGCCTGAAACTTGCAACAGCGTTTCACCTTTACACTGTCCTCACTTTAGAGCTTTTCCCTCGCCAGCATGTCAAGGTAATTTGGCTTGACTGAACTCAATAACCTAATAATATTTCTAATGACTGAGCCGCCCATTATCTCGGCGGCTCATTTCGTAATACGTACAATGCATACTTAATTACAAGAAATCCAGGTATACGAAAGCCAGTGCGTGTGATTCAACAAAAAAAATGTCGGGGCTGAAATACTCACGGTGGATGGCTGAACAGACAATTCAGCTGAAATAGGTAATCTTAAAGTGGTACTGACACGAAAATTCTCAGTTTTCGTCTTTCTTTTTGCATAGAACATTCGTATTCATAAAATGTACTGGTAAGTGTGAGTTTTCTTGAAAGATTATTTAGAGTACGTTTTTAAAAACCACTTTCGGTTCTTCAAGTACTCTGACGTCACCGCACTGCCCGATCATCTCGTTATGTGTTTTCTAGACATAGCGTGACGCTTACATAATCACTCCGTTCCTGGATTCAATGGTGATGCAGAAGCGCTCACTGAATGTTTTTGGTGACACGCAAATTCTGAATGTGTAAGGGCTTGATGTTATCATATATCGTCTCACCATACTGGTGCTCGAAGACACCAAAATTGACAATACAACCTGTGGTCACGCTAGCGTTGAATCCTGTCAGTAAGTTTATCATGCGAAACTGTAAATCAAATACCTCATCTGCATTCCCTGAGCGTGATAGCTTCGTGTGCTTCAAACTTGCACGGAGCTGTCTCAGTTTAGACGACATTTGTATGCAAGTAAACGCACTTAAAAAAATGTTTGAACCTTATTACGCACCGTTTCTATTGTGACGAAGCCGGCAAACAGATAGCAAGTTGCAACAGCCGCACTGAAGTAAAAAATGACGCAGGTTATGTCCGTGGAAGATGACGGCTGAGCAGAAAGGTCGTAAGCTCGTCGGCAGGGTATTGTGCTCAGATGAAAACATATTTTGCATACATGCTATAAGCTTGGTAGGCAATTTCATTTCTGGTAGACTCGAAAGAAAAACATAAAAAATGGTTTTGTGCTTTTTTTAGTTTTCTGTCGTGGGCACGGGGTGGCATCACGCAAGGCAGACTTTTTTGATACGGGTTCCATTACTTAGGTGGCTCGGGCTCTGCACTGCAGTGTTAGCTCTAAACATACGCTGTCTACATTGCTGTCCTGAATCGAGGCGCATCCGTTTCACGCATTTACGAAATGAACCACCAACAGTCGTCCTGATGAATCGCAGGAGGTCGCCCAACGAGCAGAAGCCCTCTTGCGGTCACGAGGCAACAAGTTCCGGATCATGTTCTCCTCCACCCTGGGGGTGATGGTTTACGTTGGAACGTCAGTTAGGAACGAGCCATCTGGGCCTAATCAAGGGTGTGACCAGTCGTACATGGCTGACTGGGACTTCTTGTGTAGTGGAGGTGCACCCTTAGGACCGGAGGTGCTCGACCGTGCAGAAATGTACGCCTACATTGTCTACAAGGACTGGCGTCAAACAGCACTTTGTCACCTACGAGACTTCGAATTCGTTGCTAGACAAGGTGACTATATATACTCAGCATTTCATACTACTCTCTAGAATATTGTATGCAGTGAAAACAGTTATGTCATTCTGTAGGATGACTGTCCACGTGATCTCTGCCTGATTCATACTTTGAGAAAGAGTATCGGACTTTCGTAAGACAAGAGAGAGCTGTATATGCTTCACAGTACGGCGGTTGCAGTGACTTGGCTGTAGAACTGATGGTTTAGGGTGCGATTCTGGTAATGGTGGCTGCATTGAGATGGCCGCGAAATACTGTAGAGGCCCGTATACTGTGCGCTGACTGTGCCCGTTATAGAACGCCAGATGGTTGGAATTGCCGAAGCCCTTCACTACGGCGTGCCTCATTATCACATTGTCACGCGTGTTTTCTTAAATTCGAAGCGTTTCTTTGCGAACTGCAAACACTTCTGGCGTCTATGTGCTTATCTATTTATATCTCTATCTATCTAGCCGCTTATGTCCGAGTACTCTCGTGATCGCGCCATTATCTTGGCATGAACTAAACTTTGTATGAGAGGGTAAGCTGGTACGACCAATTAGACGCGCTGGTCAAGACATGACAGGTCGGTAGGTTCCACTGGTATGCGGGTTTGTGCCACAGATGATTGACACTTGGTATCTACCTAGGAATGACGAGAACACATAATGGAAATTTTAACGCTTCAGAGTTAAGAAAAGAACAACCATACATGCGTGGAAATCAAGCACTCTACTACAGAGTCACGCCAGGTTGCGGAACTACTTCTTAAATAAATCCGAATGTTCGTGAAACATCACTCGTGGTTGCAGTGCTGCTATCCAATTTTATAAACATTACACATGTTCTCCTAGGATGAATATGTTCGTGCGTGCAACATTTACACATATATTCAGCGTCATTTCATGTCGTGTCGTTCAATCAAAAATACAAAACGGTCATTTTCCCTCTGCAGGTTTCGTAAAACTTATATTCCGAAATTCCGTGGGATGTGCCAAACTTTTTTTTTGCGGATGTGGATTTCAGCCGCAAAGACTAGGCAACGCTTGGAGCAGGCTGCGAAGCAATATTTCAGAAGCTTCGTGATAGCTTGAGGCTATTTTATTAAGAATGCGCCTACGACGTGAACTTACGCAGCCACTAGTGATAACGCAACAATGGTTGATAGCACATGTATAAAAGCCAACGCCCCGCATCGCTACGCAGATTTCTCGACCGCCGACAACTGTTCACGTCGCTATCCGGCTACACTGTGAATTGCTGACTTCACATTTCATTTTTCAGGCACAAGTTCACCCAAATTAGTTTCGAACTTGTCGATTGCCGGTTTTGTCAACGTCACGACCGCGTGAAAATATTTTGGTTTTAGTGACTCATGCTAAAATTAATATTTTAGAGCTATACTGAATAGTAGTGGGGGAAAAATTAGTTCCAAATGTGCATGTTACACCGCAAATGTAGTCGAAAGACGATAGTCTAGCGTCTGGAGAGAGTGAACAAAATGTTTATTTGATGTTCTGCGCCAGAAAATTGATGAATGCTATTCTGGAGGCGCTGCGTTAGAGTGGCTTGAGCGTGTAGCGGAAGCAAATGAGTGCATCGAGGCACGTTAGACACAAGCGCCATCTGGCAGTTATCTTCAAAAACGAAGGCGCGCAGCCCGCGGAGAAAGTTGCGCGCCCGTCTCAAATATGATAAGGTGTAGAACGCAAAGCGATAGGCAGGTGCCACAACCGTGACGTCATAGAAAAGCGTCGGAAACACCTTTTTGGGCATCGCGTTGCACTGTCAGCGCAGCACGACAAACGCTACATTTCTTAGAGTTACTTGTGTGTGCCTCTTCTAGTATAAAGGCAGACGTACAAAACTTCGAAGTGTTGTTATGGCGCCTCAGATATGCGCAATATTTGCTTTTTATTCGACAATCGCACAACTATCAACGCTAAACATTGAGCAATATTGGTGGGCGTTGCGAATAAGGTTGGCCGTTTGGTGCCGTTTGAGGTATCGTTAGGGTGGACAGACAGACAAATGTACTGACAGACAGACAGACCAAAATGTTTTTGTCGATGGTACCCAAGAAAGACTATCCTCTTTAAAAACAATAAAGCAGTGTAGTTGACTACACACAGTCAATTTTATATGATTTAAAGGGACACTAAAGAAGAACACGAAATATGTTCACATTGATAATGATAAAAAAGCGCAGATGTCGGTAATCTCGACACAAAAAAGAAAAGAAAGGTAGGTCACATATCATAAATTGCTCACTCAAATCCCAAGGGCAGTATGCCTTCGTGACGTGAAATACGTACATAGTTTAATTTTCATATTTTTGACCACGTTATCTAAACAATTGTTTCCAAAACTAACCATGTCATTTTTGGCTGGCTTACAATCTAGTAAAATACCTATTTACTACTACACCACAATAAACGCCGTAGATAATTTCATCGAAACTGATCGTGGCATGACAGGCTAACACATGAACTTCAAGACAGCGTCATGGTAATCTTATCGCGCATTTTCTAGCTTTCAAACTTTTTCTGAAGGTGTTGTAAGCGCGTCATATATGTCGGTGTACATTATAAATAATTCTGCTTAGTGTCTCTTCAATACGCGTGCTTACCAGATGCACCATGCACTGGCAAATAACGACGTTTTTACTTACTCTTTTCTCTTCTTCTCTGACGTAAAAAACCTCCATTTTCTACCGCAGATGGATTTATACGTAGAGAAAGTTTCCGATGGCTGGGCCATGTTCGAGGCGCATCGTGACAGCGCCAAGGACTGCGCCATTCAAGAACGCTTCCAGCGTCTGAAAATGGTGCAGTTGGCGGCACGCAATCGAAGTCGTCGCGGAGGCCCGTGACTACGAAGGTTGACCACGTGATGGCCCTGGCACGTCGTCGTCACGGCTTCGGACGTGTGTGGCCTACTACTTGTGCTGCCGTGTGCAGTTATCTTTAAAGCGAGCGCATTTGCGGACACCCAGGGCTAATAAAATGTAGCATTGCGGCAATAAAAGATCGCACTTGTTCACGTGCATCACTTTGGCAAATAATTGAAACTATTCTTTTTGGAGTAGTGAAGAGCCTAATAAAACGTTCTGACGAAATTATACGTAATCGTGTAGATAGATGCGTCGGGAAGCATTGAAGCAATTGAAGTGCAGATGATTAAAGCCATTCCTTTTGGAGCATTGAAGAACATAATGAAGTCGTTGTAATTGAATTATCTGTCATTGTATAGATAGATGCGTTGAGGAGCATTGGATCATGCAGTGCAAAGGCAACGTCGACTAGGTAAACTTTCGTGGCGATTTCAAGGTCCCCTTAGTGTACGCCGCTGAGTAAGAGGCACTCTACCTAACCTGGCATGCGGTACATTTGAATGAGCAACTTTGTCGGCAGTGGCAGGGCAGTCGCTTTCTAAGCAGGACGGGACGTGATACGCGTAGTAAGTGCTTATACTGCAAGTTGGTTGCGTTTGCGTCACATTCTTTAAAGCGAGGTATTGAAACAAGGAATACTTTTGCGATTCCCAACATTGACGTGCTACATAAAGCTTGTTATGTGGCAATCTGTGGCACGCGTCGTTGATGATGGTAATGTATATACGAACCAACTAGGTCTTATACCTACAAAGGAAGATAGTGAGGGATCGGGCGACTGGCACACATAATAAAAATTAAATTTTGACCTTTGTTTAGCTGGGTTGGACACAATGTTGCATACCCGCAAACTAGACGACAGGAGTCTAAGAGAGCATGGTATTATTACGTACAAGCTTGAAGGACATATGACCTTCGCCTTTAAGAGTTGAACGCGACAGTGTAATCTGGGCCCCATCGTGGCCTTCTCACTTGCTAATCCAGCTTCGCTACTCGGTTGAACCTCAACCGCGTTGCACAGAGACGAACCTCTGTGTGCGTAAGAATGGGGGTTTTAAACTATCGCTAATTTTCTAACGCAAGAACTGCGACGAAGTGCCCACTACGTCGCATTGCTTTATTTTGCATATCTGTGAAGGTCCCTCTGTACGCGTCCTTAAAGCTACATGCGAACCTACGCAGCTGCTCACTTTGTTAGTGCGTTTCTTCTTGAGGATAGTTTAGTACTACTGACCACTTTCTGACTGGTGAGCTTTTTAAACGTCAACTCGATGTTCCGTTCACATGCATTAACTCATGGTGCGGTTCCAGACTTCTCTAACGCTATAATACATGCGTTAAGAAGACCCTTCTCGCTATGTGACATTCGTGTAGCTTTTTTTTTTGAAAACAATTTCAACCGATGACGTGGCTTTGTTACCACTTGTATGCCATAGACAAGGCCTTTGATTCTCACTTTGACCAAACATTTTTATGATTTACTTGGATCTATCTCAATTTTTCACTCACTGACAACGCCAATTTTGCGCTGACAACCACCGACGCCAGCACCAGCATCGAAATTTTTGCGTAACATGATTTTACGCTGTCGAGTCCGAATTACATTGTTGATACTTGTTAAGATGACATTCTCGATAGTTGGTGGATTGGTTATTCCGCTGTAGCCGGTAGCAACGCCCCACGAAGGATCACCCATGTAACGTTTCCTATTACGACGCTCCATAGCTACACCCTCCCAATGTACGCCCCTCTCATGAATTTGCGAAATTAAAATACAAATAGGTGGTACCACTAAGTTAAGCCAAGATCTGTGCGATACAATTTACTACCATCTTTCTTTGCGACTGCCTTGTTATTTTCCAGGATTTTTTCCTAAACTTTTTTGCTGAAACTGCCAACATAATTATTGGGCGTTGCGCCATTTCTTTCGCATTGGTCTGCTTTTATTTACTTTTATTTTTTGTTCCTTTATATACCACGTGACCTGCGGATCATCCCCTACAGTGGGTTCGAGACAATAATACATGGATCACACTTGTAATTGTCATCATCATCATTATAATTAAGAAGAAAGCACATCCCGTGGTCCGAGCGCACGAGACTCCGCACTTCCGGTTACCGAGGGCAAGCGTCGGATTTCTTGCGCGATTCTTCTGCGTTTTTGCGATACCAGTATCACCCTTGAAGACAATGGCTGATGGTGAGTCAGGAAGACAATTTCGTTTACGTCATGATGTCGGGTCGTGGGAGAATCAATCACAATAACTGCGAGAGCAATCACTGTAGATCTGAGCATTATCGATATGCCAATTTGGCACCGTAACAACAATGATGAAAGTTGTGTCTTTTCGGCTTGGTTCTTCTCCCCTTTTTTAAATAAATACGTTGCGTGATGATCTGTTTCGCGGAGCCGCCAGAGTTTTGGAAGCCAATTTGCAACAGAAAAAAAAAACGACAAAAATGACTGCCTTTACGAAAGCCGCAGTCAACGCAATACTTTTGACACAAATAATATTTTGAGTAATTTACATTCGTGACATAGAAATTTTTTTTTGTATGTGGCTTTCGTCAAAGCAGTTAGTTCTGGTTTTCTCGCATGTTTCAGAAGCCGTTTTCAGAAATCATGGCAGCTCCGCGCGACATCACATCGCTAAAAGTATAAATAGCAAAAAAAGAAAGCATTTCTAAGCTTCGCAAGCCGTGAATGTATTAGAATAATGCGGAGTTCAATCACGAAAACGCACAGCAAAATACAGTGATTTGGGGTTGACCTGTAATCTGTGTTAGCTTAAAAGATGTATATTGAAATCGAAACGGCCATAAGTGGGCAATACGGGTGTTTGGCTGTAGATTCATGCGCTCAGTGGACTTCTGCCTGCTCATAAACTTAGTACGAGAGTTCTTCTACTCGTTTAAACGTACACGCTAACAAAGGTTCGTTTAAACATAGCGTAGCTTTTGAAAATGCTTCCTGGGTGGAACGTTTTTAGGACTAGTGGAAATAAATAAATAGAAAGCAGGAACATGATTTTTTTATGTGCTTTTATGGAAGTGTGCTTGGGCGAAAAGCATTGAAGGTTGATTGACGTTCCTTCTTGTATACTATCACTGCTGCCGTATAAGACAATGAATTCTCGGAGTCTCGGACACTGCGTACCACTAAATTAAGCCGAGATCTGTGCGATAAAATTTACTACCATCTTTCTTTGCGACTGCCTTGTTATTTTCCAGGATTTTTTCTTAAACTTTTTTGCTGAAACTGCCAACATAATTATTGGGCGTGGCGCCATTTATTTTGCCTTGGTCTCTTTTTATTTACTTTTATTTTTTGTTCCTTTATATACCACGTGCCCTGCGGATCATCCCCTACAGTGGGTTCGAGACAACTATACATGAATCACACTTGTAATTGTCATCATCATCATTATAATTAAGAAGCAAGCACCTCCCGAGGTCCAAGCGCACGAGACTCCGCACTTCCGGTTACCGAGGGCAAGCGTCGGATTTCTAGCACGATTCTTCTGCGTTTCTGCGATACCAGTATCGCCCTTGAAGAGAATGGCTGATGGTGAGTCAGGAAGACAATTTTGTTTACGTTACGATGTAGGGTCGTAGAAGAATCAATCGCAATAACTGCGGGAGCAAACACTGTAGATCTGGGCATTATCGATATGCCAATTTGGCACCGTAACAACAATGATGAAAGTTGTGTCTTTTCGGCTTGGTTCTTCTGCCTTTTTTCAAAATAAATACTTCGCGTGATGATCTGTTTCGCTCAGCCGCCAGAGATTTGGAAGATGATTTGCAATAGAAAAGAAAAACGAGAAAAATGACCGTCTTCACGAGAGCCGCAGTCAAGGAAATACACTTGACACAAATAATATTTTGAATTATTTACATTTGTGACATAGATATTTATTTTTTTTTGTATGTAGCTTTCGTCAAAGCGGTTGGTTCTGGTTCTCGCGCATGTCTCAAAAGCTGTTTTCAGAAACTATGGAAGCTCTGCGTGACATCTCATCGCGAAAAGTATATATAGTAAAATAAAAAAATAAGAAAACATTTTTAAGTTTTGCAAGCCGCGAATGTATCAGAAAAATGCGGAGTTTAATCACGAAAACTCGCAGCAAGATACAATGATTTGGGGTTGACCTGTAATCTGTGTTAGCTTAAAAGAGGTATATTGAAATCGAAACGGCCATAAGTGGGCAATATTGGTGTTTGGCTGTAGATTCATGCACTCAGTGTACTTCTGCCTGCTCATAAATTTAGTACGAGAGTTCTTCTACTCGTTTAAACATACACGTTAACAAAAGTTCGTTCGGAAATAGCGTAGCTTTTGAAAATGCTTCCCGGGTGGAACGTTTTTAGGACTAATAGAAATAAATAAAGAGAAAGCAGGAACATGCTTCCTTTTATGTCTCCAACGGGAAGTGTGCTTGGGCGAAGAGCATGGAAAGTCGATTGACGTTCCTTCTTGTATACCTTAATTTTACTGCCGTATACGATAATGAATACTCGGAGCCTCGGACAATGCAAAGTTTAGCTGTTGTACAATGATACGCCAGCACCACTTGGCAAAGAGTGAACCTAAAAAGCTGGGGGAATTAATTTCAATAAGGTTTAATCAGAACAAGTTTGGATAACGAACAAAGCAACTGCTGGGTAATAAATTTATAACAGTCGTTAAAAATGCGAATATACTTTGTGCTCGTGAGCTTTTGGGCTCATAAGGTAGATCGCTTTTATTTACAGTGTTATTTACGAAAGATGGCAGATTGATTGATTGGCAGATTGACTGACTGATTGATTGTTTGACGTCGTCTCATTCTCATAGCAGATTTTGTAAGCAGTTGTTTTCACACACACGCACACAAAATGGTTATTATACTCCTTCAGGTTCAGTTAGACTCCTCTCAGTGTTTCTGCTCATTTTTGAAATAAAATTGCATTATGTATTATTAATACTGATATTTATTAGGAGCAAATTTATTTCCGAGCTACAAATTTAAGT